TTCCCCCTGAACACTTATAAGTTATATCAGTCTTACAATATGAGATGTTTTACACGTGCGCCACGTCATTGCCATATCATCGCCATGTTAACGCCACGTCAGAAAGCAGGACTTATATGCACGAGGTCATCTTTCTCATGCAAGGCTTCACGATTGTGTTTCAAAGTTAAAATGCCTGAAAAGCATAATTTCTTTCTTCTTTCCCTCTTAATCTTCAACCTCTATGGTGATTAAAGCTTGTTCTTCCTTCTCTTTTATGTTATTTTCTGTCACTTTAGAGGCCATGAAGAACCGAGAACTTAAAATCGGAAAATCAAATTGTTGGGTTTATCATTGCTTCAAATCTGCTTGAGCAATAGCTACTAAAATTCATTTGTTAATATTGGTTGAAGGTTGAAAACGTGATTACACACTCATGGTGGTGAAGGAGCCAGCAAACACTATTATCGATCAGTGAAGCTACAAAACTTTAAACTCAAGTCTAAGATTTTGGAGTTTATCTCGAGTGGGTGTTGCTGAAATTTGTTGGGTCTAATTTGTAGAGTCTATATCTAAAATTTGGGGCTATTTGGTGAAGGATTTTGGTGATTCGGAGTTGATTTTTGTAGAGTAATTGTACTATATGTGAGGAAGGATAAGAGGACGAGGAAGAAGGAGAAAGAAGAGGGGGCCATCTTTTTTTTTTTTTTTTTTTTTTTTTTTTTTTTTNNGGGCCTTTTTTTTTTTTTTTTTTTTTTTTTTTTGTTATTTATGTGCCTATGATTTTTATTTTTATTTTTTTGCCACATCAACTATTAGGAGAAAAAATAATTCATTCGAAATGGGTTTAGGGCGATCAAGAAAAGCCCGTTTAATTTAACTGTTCAACCTAGTTTTCGGAACAAGTTCAAGCGGGATTTTATATATTTTCCCATATAACAAAAATGGTCTCTAATGTCTGGAGTATGTTTGAAATGTACTTCTTTAACTATATTCTTGATCAATGTTGGTCCTTTAGTTTTGTTGGGAAAAAAGGGCAGCCCAATGCACTAAGCTGTCACTGTGCGCGGGGCCCGGAGAAGAGCGACCACAGTGGTTTATCGTACGCAATCTTACCCTACATTTCTGCAAAAGGCTATTTCCACGACTCGAACCCGTGACTTCTTGGTCACATGGCAATAACTTTATTTTTTTGAAAGTGAATAATTTCCATTTGCGTCAATTATTTAAACAAACTCTACATCTTATATTTAACAGTTATTATAAAAACATTATTATCAAGAAATACAGGAAAATCCTGTCAAATTTCAAAAATTGCATAAAAATGTGTCACGACCCTATTACCCCACCTTAGAACGTCGTAATGACACATAATCTCTAACACTAGATAAGCCTAGCATACGTCAAGATTTAGCAAATATATCAACTTAAATATCAACTTAAACTAGTAATCTATCATAATAAAACCAAAGAATACAATTGTCAATAACTCTTAAAACCTGGTGGAACCGAGTCATAAGCTCTACAGAAAGTTACTAATAATTTCGAAATACAATACTGTTTTGAACAGGAAATAAACAGTAATACAACTAAAAGCAGAAGGTGATTTTGAGGCATGCGAACGTCGAGTAGGTGTACCTTTAAGTCTCCGAATATAACTGATCAATCACTAGCGTCCGGCACGCGCGAATATATCTGGATTTGCACAAGAATATGCAGAACCGTAGCATGAATACACTACAATGGTACCTAGTAAGCATCAAAACTAACCTCGGTAGAGTAATGACGAGGCCACGTCAAGACACCTATTAGGACAAGAAAGTTGAACAAAGTATAATAAAGTCTAATGACGAGAAATGAGGAAATGAATGACAATAAAGCAGTAAAATAATGTAGGCTAACAACGGAATTTAAAGCAATGAAGGCAACAAGGAGAGGGAACAATTGATAAGAACAATATGTAATCAAATACGGACAAATACAAGTGAGACAAATGAAGAGATAATAAAAAAATTGTTCAACCAACAAGCCTTTTTAACGTAAAATTTACAACAAGAATCGCAACCGTGGTACCGTACCTCACAATCTCATTTCGCAAGTCACAATCGCAATGTTCCTTATATCACCCCGTGAGCTTTGCATTGATTTTGAAAATATTTTTCCGAAATAACTACATGCGTTTTAGCCCCCTCATATCACCGCGTGGCTTTAAGTAATTCCCTTACCAGTAACACATGTATAATCTCACCTTATCTCATAGCATGTGTATCAACCTCTATCCTTCTGCCACTACATGCATATCAATATCACAACATAAAAATAACTCACACCATGCGTGCCCATATGCCACAACACTTGCCAAAATCAATAATACCAATGTTACCATAACGACCCAACCACAATTGAATAAGAATCTCAATAATAACAAAATGGATGAGAAATGCTCAATGAGGAAAGATATCTTTATAATTAACAACTTCAACCTGAATGTGCTGATAGCTTTCACAACTTCAATTTCAGTGACTTATTATGAAGGTATTCCCACGAAATAACAACTTCCAAGTCAAGTGTATAGCATAAGCTTAACGATGAATAAGATAGTATGAAATAGCAACTACGTCTAAGTACATAAGAATAAAACAACACGAAGAGACATCATGTAATAATAACTTCAAATAAGAATAATCCAACAATTAAAGAGGTAACAAGACAATAAGACATGTAACAACTTCATCTAAAGATATAAGAGCAAACTTGACAATAAAGAATAGAACATGTGCTAACAACGTCAAATAGAGCATGTAAGAGTAAATTTAACAATTCAAGATATAACATGTTATGACAATTTCAATTAAATGCATGGAAGAAGCCTAAGAGTCTAAACCGGTCAAAATACCACATATAAGACCATGTACACACTCGTTAACTCGTATACATGTCTTCCACATAGTTCAAATAACACAATCAATCCAAATCCTAAAGGGTAGCTTCCTCCATACAAAGTTAGGCAAGATATTTACCTCAACTAGGTCAAATCAACATTCAAAAATAGTTTTCCCTTTAAAACTCGTCTCCGCACGGCTCAAATCTAACCAAAAACGGCTTAATAATATCAAACAATGCAAGAGAAACCAATGATGATAGATAAAGCTATGATCTTTACGCAATTTCTCAAAAGTAAACAAAAGTCAACATCAGGCCCGTCCGGTCAAAATCCGAGTTTAAGGGTAGATCTTGATTACCAATGACCCCACGAGTCTATATATGTGTTTTGCTTTTTCGAATCCTAGTCCAATTCTACTCTAAAAATCCAAATTTTTATTTTTCTAAACTTAGACAAAAATCTCCAAAATATCATTTTAATTTTCATAAATTTGATGTGAAATTTCATATATAATCATGAAATATCGTTGAAAAGTGATTAAAACTACTTGCCCAGTGATTGTAGGTGAAAAATCCCCTCTCAAAATCGCCTCCTACCGAATTTAGGGTTCTAAAATGAGAGAAAACGAGATGAAATCCCGACTTTTCAGCCTTTTGTTCAGTTGCAGATATCGCAATTGCGATCTCGCAATTGTGAAGAAAGCCTCGCAATTTGCGGCCCTGACAACCTAATTGGAACGACGCAAATGTGATAATGGCCTCGCATTTGCGAAGCCTGTTCCCTTCGCAAATACGTACCTACCCAGTCTAGTCTTTTTTTAGCAAATGCGATCAAGACATGGCAAATGCGATACCTGAGGCTCCCTTTGCTATGATCGCATTTGCGATGTTGGTGTTCGCAATTGCAACACTTGAAACACCAGCACACCAGCTACCCGATTCAGTTCAAAACTATTCCGATACACGTCCGAGACTCATTCGAGCTCTCGGGGCTTCAAACCAAACATCCACACAAGTTTAAAAATATCACACGAACTCGCTCGCGTGATCAATATACCAAAATAATATCTAGAACCACAAATCGGACATCAAAACGCATGAATTTCAAAAGAAAACTCAAGAACCTCTAGAATTGCAAATCAAACCAACTCCAAATTACATCAAAATTTGCAAACAAGTTTCAAATAGCAAAACAGACCTAGTCCCAATCCCAAAACCAGATTTTAAAACTGATAGCCATAAAGTCAACCTACTTTCAAACTTAGGGAGACTCCTAAACCTCAAATTACCAACTTTCGGCAAAACACGTCAAATCAACCTAAAGACCTCCGAATTCAATTCCGATCATAAGTCCAAGTCCAAAATCACGATACGAACCTATCGGATCCATCAAAACACCATTTCGGAGTAGTTTTCACAAAAGTCAAATATTGGTTAACATTTCTAACTTAGGCTTCTAAACCAGGAACCAAAGGGTCTAAATCAACCCAAAATTTTCCTGGAATGAAACTAACCAACTCTGAAGTCACAAAACCACAAATACACATGTGTGAAGTATCAAAACGGAAACGATGCTCAAATACACAGAATGACCGATCAAATCATTACAAAAAGGCTTCATTATACACCACGAAGAAATTAAAACAGGTAGAAACTACAATATAAAAAACTGCATCTTCAAATATGAGTTTATTAATTTTTTAATAATTTCATTAAATTTAATAATCAGAATTCGGTAAATATTTAACGAAAACTAAAAAATCAAGAAACCATATTAATAGCCTGTTTGGTCAAGCTTCTTTTTGTTCAAAAATATTTTTTTTTGGGCCAAAAGCACTTTTGGCTAAAAATTGAGTTATTTGGCCAAGCTTTTGGAAGGAAAAAAAGTACTTTTGAGGAGAAGCAAAAATATTTTTGGAGAAGCAGAAAAAATTAGCTTATCTCCAAAAGCACTTTTTTGAGAAGCACTTTTGAGAAAAATACACTTAAAAGCAGTTTTTTAAAACTTGGTCAAACATTAATTACTGTTTAGGAATATTTTTCAAACTAATTAGCCAAACACAGACTCCTTCTCACCGACCAAAAGTTTATGAAAAATACACTTTAAAAAAAAAAGCAAAACTTATTTTTGCAGCTTGGCCAACCGCAACCAACCCCCTAACGGGAATATTTTGTCATTTTCTCCCGAGCTGGTTATACTTTCCGTTTTCCTTTCATCAAAGCAACAGAGAAAGAGTGTGAAAATGGCGTCGGCGCGGCAATGGATAGAAGGAGACGAAACGGCCAAGCAGTTCCTAACAAGGGTTCTCTCGGAGCGGCCATTCTTACCATTACCTCCACCTCTTCATCGCATCCCTCTCCGCGCCGGCAACGTAGTCGAAATCGTCGGCCCTTCTCCTTCTTCCAAAACTCGCATTCTTATTCAGGCAAGTCACAGAATATAAACTCTAATTCTCCTTTTCATCTGCGATATTTTACATACATATTCCAGAATTTAAAGTAAGTAGTTTCGAGTGTGTACGTATTGTTATTAAATATAAATTTATATTCTACTTCTTTGGCTCCTACATTTTATTGTCTACTAAATCAATTAACTAGGTTTCAATCCGGAACTAGTTGGGTCCTAATTTTGTAAGCTCCTAGAGTTTTTAGGTAGGAGGATAAGTAATGTATAGGAGCTTACTAAGCTTTTGTACTGATTTACATCCCCTGGATGCCTATTGAATGAAATTCAGCCTTATCTGATCAAAGAAATAAAAACTTGTTGCGTCCTACTTGTAAATTTTTTGTGACTGCTCTGTTCTATTTCATTCTGCATTTGGACCATATTTCAGATGAAACAAAAAATAAAAGATTATTTGAAGTTAAAATTGAGAAAATGTTTGTGGAAGTCTTCCCATCTGCTAAGCTTTGGTGGGCAAAATTACTTGTGCTGGTTGGATTAGCAACTTTTGATTGGGGGCAGGTGGAGCTTTGGAATACCGGGTTCATATGATCCCAATACTTCTATGAGTAGTAATTCTCTAAAGTTGCAATGAGTAGTAGATATGAACCTATAACCTTTAAAATATAATGAGTTCAACGCTAAGAACCTTAAAGATTGAATCCGTAAAGCTTAAATATTGGATCCGTCTCTGCCTGTACTGGTTGGTGTGAGGTAGCAGGTAATTGGTGAAATAGTTGAGATACGCGAAAGCTGGACGAGACACCCGCCTTATCACAAAAAGAAAATAGGAAGTGTTTGGACATGAACTTAACTTGAAAAATAAAAGGTTTGTGAAGTTGAAGATTTGAAGACTGCGGTTGGTCAATATAGGTTGTCAAATTTGGTGGTGGTAAAGTTTCCAAAGTTGTTAGTCCTTGATATTTTCTCTCTCTATTTTCTTGAGCTCTCAGGCACACTCCCCGAGGAGTCTGAGAACAAGGAATCTTGAGGATCCATAAACACCATGAGCATGCTTATTCAATTCTGACCAACCCTCTGAAAACAGCTCCGACAAACAGTCTCTCACGCGCCGCCACGCGCGGCACTTTCCGGCGAGCCAAACACCACGCGCCGGCGCGTGAGCTCAATCCCGGCCACTTTTCAAAATTTTTGTTTTGGACAGC